GGGGTTTGCACGTGTTTTGGATTTTGTACGTGCTTTGTCTCTAGGGGCCACCGTAGTCTCCTGTATACAGTGCTTAACACATTCATTAAACCACCAACAAATGTAAAGTTTATACCACAGCTGCCCTAAATTGTCAGTAGTGGTAATAACCAAAAATCATTTTTATATTTCTGTAACCATTGATACACCTGTGTGCACAAGCTGTTAATCAAAATTATATTTTTAATTCTAAAATATTATTATTGCTATCCCTGAAATTTCAAATGTACACCTAAAAATAGTAAAGCACATTATTATTATTTAATCAAGATTACAGTTTTACTTGATTACTTACTTCCTGAAAAGAAAAAAATGTTTTAGTGGTTGAATGTTATTTGTGATTAATTTGGAATTTTACAGAAACTTTACAGAAACAGCAAAAGTACAGAAACTTTGCTCATAAAAAAGTGAAGGGAAAAAACCTGAGATTAACTTGGGGGATGTCCCCTTCCAGGTCATCTCTTTGTGCAGCTTTACACAGCTTCCTGCATAGCTCCTTTCCAGTTTTCACCATTCATTCGTCTTAGATTTGATGATTAGAGCTAAAACTCTGCCTCCGACCCCATGAACAAAAAGTGGCCCACACAGCCCAGACCTTGGAGGTGTCCAGGTGTGCCCAGTTTTCTAAACTGGATTCCCAGCAATTTTAGCGACTTATGTTTCATGTTTTGATTGGTTCCTTAAACTTTCCTTTCAGCCTGTTGTGTGGCAGGTCTCATCTGGAGATGTGGTGTGGTTTGCTTCCAATCAGTCACACTGGCGCCACCTGGGCCCAGTCTGGCAGTGCTCTAAGCCCTCAGTGTGGTTCTCCGCCCTCAGCCACCTTTTGGATGTTGTTTGGTCTTTTATTTGATTTTCTACACTACACAACATTTCATACACCATTTATTCACTCAAGCAATCATTTATACCACTGATTGCATTGATTACACACACCAGTTAGTTTAAGTTCTTTCCTTGTTTCCTTAATTTGAAATAGTTTAATTGGCATTTGTGTGTATCCCCCTTTTTGTCCCTTTTGTTTGGGCCGGGTGGTGAGATTTCACACCAGTGCTGGAGAACTAGAGCCCATACAAGTAGCAAACAAAAACCTGGATGATATCGAGGACTACCACAACAGTGGCCTGGCCAGCAGTTGGTGTGGACCGGGGGTGGCTGGTCAGCAGCTACTGATTGACAGACCTGATGGATAAAAATATAACTAAGAAAGAATGATAAAAAAGTCACCAAATATACAAGTGTGTGTGAAACAATGAACCACAGTATCAGTAGGTCTAATGCACTTAAAAAGGTGTTGACATTTTTCTGTCCAGTCACGCAGCAGACAGTCATTTATCTTAGAATATGAACAGAAAACATCAGGAGCTGCTTTTCACAAAGACTGATGGCAGAAATCACCTGTGCTAAAAAAAAAAAAAAAAAAAAAAGGAAGAAGAAGCAGGTTTTAGTAGGGACAGTGCAGCTGAACTCCACAGAAATCTGTAAATCTTTGCTGTCCGACATGTTGGGTCATGTGCAATCTTCAAACAGCGCAGGTCTGATGAGGGCTCTGTAGGCCGGCCGTCCTTGGCTGATTTGATTTACAACACGAGTGCCGCATTCATTTTCCTCCCGCCTGTAATAATTTTCCCCCTCGCTTGCTGCCATCGCAGGCCAAGGTTACGTTCAGAGTGAGTTAGATGTGGAGCAGAGCAGCATTTTTAAAAGAAAGCAGTTTGTTAGTGGACAAGTTTCTTGTCATGTTGTTGCAGCGTGAGCCCTAATTTATCATCAGGAACTTGGTGATTGCTCTGATCACTGTGCAGCCATATTGGATGGAGAAGGTTTTAGTCCATGTCATGGACTTTCTGCCTGCCAATCAATTAACAAATATTACAATTCAAATGATATTAGTGATGATGATCTTTGCTGTTATATCTTAATCAGGCAGAAAATGTCACTAGTTTCTCATTGCTTTCTTTCTGAAGAGGAGTGAAAGCAATGCCACAGCTTCTGAAAGTAAATCATTCTGATGAGCTGTTTTGTTAAGATATAAATAATCTCAAGGTTTCAAGCTATCTCTCAAATCACCTGCTTTGTATACAGTAACAAACATAGCTAGATGCAGGGAGCTATAGTTATGGAGCTTTTCTTTTTTTGCATAGTCTCTACATGTGATGTAATCTCAACCAAGAGCTATCTCACTCAAAACCACATGTACCAGCCTCTTAGTTGTACTCGCTGAAACATCAGAGGGTTAAAAACATCTCTCAGACTCTTGTAACCGATCCATCTTGCCAATGCGGAAGTTTCTTAGAAAAAAAAAAAGTTGATTGAAAATGCCTGTTTTCACTTTCCCATTACAGTGAAAGTATTTTGTTTAAATCTGTGCTTTGTTGTGTGTAATGATTGGAGGTCTTCTTATTTTTGATACTGCTGTCACAGTTATAAATGTGCTGTTGAGCCATTTAGATGATTTGCGGTGAGTATTTGAAACACACTATAGCCTCTGCATGCCTGGTCTCCAGCTCCAAAGTCAAGGGTGTCATTTGAAATGTCAATGAAGAACGAGTGAGTTATTTATCTTTTCTTTTTGTTTCACGCCCCTCCTGCAGTGAGAGGCCACCTCGCAAACCCGACCTGAGGTGAATAAAGAGTGCTGATGCTAAAAACGGAAGGATGCAGTGCAATCCTTTCTTTTTTTATATCCGGGTTTATGTCAATCACATATGTATCAAATGGGTATATGTATGTCAGTCGACTGCTGTTAAAGCTTGACCTGCCAGCCTACTTACCATCTTTCAAGTAAATCACACACACACACACACATATATATATATATATATATATTAGATGTATATTTGTATATTGTAACCGTATTCAGTTTAAGCAGAGGTTGCAAAATGATTCAGCATTTCATTGTAATCTGTGAGCATTATAATTTGAGCATACACAGCTAAATACATTCAAAAATAAGAAGTCTTACATACAAACTTACATCCTTTCCAACCTCCAGTTTGTAGAGCTTTAATGGTAAAATTTGTACTTCATGCTGATTCAGATTCAACTCCTAAACTGCAAAAAATGTCTGCAAAAATGGCAGATGCTACAGCAATGCCTGTGTTGCACAGACATAATGGAGGCCGAGCCACCAGTTCACTAGGGGAAAATGTGCATTCTCTAATTGGTGGCAAGTGACTAGGTGGCTGCAAAGAACTTTGTTATGATTGCTTTGGTTGCTAGCAGATTGTTGCCTGTAGTTTGCATGAAAGATGCCAACTTTTCTGTAAACACTTGCTAAATATTAGTGCCAATTTCTCGCATGGTATTAATAAAATATGGTGTAGTGGGATACACATTAGCCTAACATGGAAAAGGTCTCTGGTTCAAGATTAGAAGGAAACATAAATTCCTTTGGGGTTATGTCAGGAAGGGTATCTGGTTTTAAAGTCTAACAAAACAAATATGCAGAGCTACCTGCTGTGGAAATCTTGTGTTGCACTGTCTAGCTTCACTGCTGCTCAGAGAGTAGTTGGCAAGTGTTTGCAGACAGGTTGGTGTCTTCCATTCAAACTACAGGCAACCATCTGCTAGTGAAGAAAGCAGTCATAAGCTGTGTCCCAAAACATAGGCTGCATCCTTCGGAGGCCACATTTGAAGGCCGATTACGTCACAGCCAGGCAACGAAGGCTGTCCCAATTCGTCGACTGCTTCAAATACGGCCGACAAATGCGTCTTTCATTTCCCCGAATTTGAAGGATGGGTCGGCTGTGTCCTTTGTGGCCCACCATATCCCAGAATAAATAGCACGGCTCAGCCAATTTCAATTTCCAACAATGGCGGCCGCTACTAAGTTTTAATATTATTCTTATTACTCTTTCTGGGTCACAAAATAAACTTTTAACATATTTTCAGGCGAGAAAGTAGCTGTGTAAACTTCAAATATCTGCTTGGTTTATCAAGACATCGCATATTTGCAAAAGTGCTCCGACGTTTTCGGAGACGTCTGTTACCCACCCGATCGATAGCTAGCTGGGGGGTTCAACGGTCACTCAATCCGGCAAGAGCAGCGGACTCCTGGCTTCATCATTTTCAGACCCTGCTGTCTTTCACTACTCAGGTTAAACATGATCTATAAGTCACTCGGATAAGTTAAAAATGTAATTTTTTTGGCTTTTTTCTGTGTTTTATTTGTTCCGGAGTAAATTGGTTTGGCTGAGATCAAAGTTATTAGATTAAATAAAACTTTATTAATCAGTTCCTCCGGGATTTTCACACAGCTGAATAAACGTCAAACAGAAAACTGATTAAACAGAAGTGTGAGACGGTCGAGAATTTCCACAAGTGTCCTGTTATATTTTAGATAGCAAGGAGCAGATGGTTGAGTTTATTAAACTCCACCGAGACAGTGGTTAAGCAAATCTGATGGCTAGGCTGTCCTGTCGGTCTTCGAAGGACGTGGCCCACGTAGACTGCAAAGGCCGGGTCCTTCGAAGGATGCGGCCTACGTTTTGTGACACAGCTATATACTTTCAAAAATCTCCAGCAACTCCATGCCAACTGATCAGGGATTGCATATTTTCCCCTAGCAACCAGTCATTACTGGCTTGCCTGGTAGGACAGTCCAAGTTACCTCTGTTGCTTTCTGGAGTGTCCTAATGCAGTCACCTGCACGAACCTGGTTCTTCATGGAGGATAAACATCAAGGACTTCAAACAGTATTTGATCAACTATTATTTGCCTATGTCATACTAGAGACCTAAAATCTTGACATTTTGAAGTTTAGTCTGTGGCAGGAAACTAGTCTTAATGACTCAGTTTTCCCAGACAGGGATTAAGCCTTGGAATAAAACTTTCCAGTGGAGACCTTCATTGAATTTTTGTTTTAGTCTAGGCTTAATTCACTATATACAAAATGTCAAGTTTTCATTGCAAAAACCCGGTGTATAGAAATTATTTTAAAATACTTACCTGATGAATCTCTTTGTTGAGTCTAGGTTTTATTACAAATGTTCAGGACGATTATCATTACCGAGAAATTAAAGTTGAGGCTTCTTGCACTGCAAATAAAAATGTTCATCTTAACACGTTTGTTTTGTCATTGATGTGGAACAGTGTCTTAAAAGCATCCCAAACACAGACACAGTGAATGAAACTGTATTAGGCTGAACAGTCAGTATTTCCTCAATGTCACTATGAATAACTTGTTAAGATGGACAGAGTTGATGCAACTGTTTGGCTTTATTGCTCATTTTTCCACAGAACCCCGAAGAGTCTATTCTTTGACTAAACCAGATTTGCATGCAGGAAAGAGACTGAAAGTCTGCATTTACATTGAGCTGAGTGTAAATGAATGAGCTGTTTTTCACTGCAGCTGATTTCCAAATGAACAGAATGATAGATATTTGCAAAATAGCTCTTTAAAGTCTTGCACATTTCAGTAAGTTTCTTTTGGAAGCATTTTAGCTTTGTGGAGAAAAAGACAAAATCTGATTTATGAATGGCTTCTTGGAGAGTTCCCATCTACAGTTCCTGTCTTATTTATATTTTCATGTAATACTTTTAGCCATATTGTTTTTATTACTTTTATTAAAACATCACTGTAAAGAAGTTGTGAAACCAGCTGACAATCAGACAGGTTTTTAAACAATTCAGCATTTTTGGTTCCAGGTATTTGCTCAACTAAATATCATTGAGTATTTGTGGCTGTAGCAAGAAAGGCTGGCATGCATGCTGCATGCACGAGGTGCGATCAAAAGATGCTTGGCCATATCAGTGCAGTCCCTACTCATTAACTGGACTACTGGCCAGATTTGCATCCCATGCAACTTCATCTTTCTTAAACTTTCTTAAAAATGCGAATAAAAGTGGAATGACTAAGGTTTTGACACAGTGGAAGAAATCAAGTGCTTATTGTAGAAGGAGTCATGCTGACCTTGATGGAAAGATTGTTCAAATTTGATTTTTATTGACTACCTTAGAACTTTCTGATCACACCTCGCATACTTTGTGCAAGAAGACATAACAACATAACAGTGCAAGAAGCTGCTTCTCTGGATGGGCTCCAACTCCACCGCTTTGGACTGCTGCTAGTGACTGTAATCCATGTTCTGCTCTGCAGCTTTGGTGAGCTCAGCGTAGTGGCATCAGTTCCTTACCTTTTATGGATCACTGGGCAATACTCTGTAGTTGGTGGTATTGGACACTCTCTCTCCAGAACAGAACAACATTTACAGTCGCCAGCTGCAGTTCAAGGCACTTGTCGGTGTCTGAATGGTGCTGAGGACCCACCAGAGCACAAAGCTGACCAGCACGCAAGTGTTAAATGCTAGATGAAAAAAATTAGGAAATCTCAAAATACTTGGGCACTCATACCAGTATAATATGCATGTTTGAAAAAAAAAAAAAAAGTCTTTAATAATTAGCTTATTCTTAAAAAACACGCCTGTTGACTTCATGTAAAGATATGCACAGGATGAATATTTCTGACACACTAAAAGTGTATTTAGTATATTTATTCTCAGACTGTTGCTGTACTATTGTACAGTTTCTAGTTTTATTCAGAAGCCACTAAGCCACAGTTTTTACTACCAAATAAAAATGTGTTTATATCCTGGCTTGTTCAAAACCTGCCTGATTGCCTGACTTTTTGTTATTATGTCCATTTGATGATATTCAAAGCTGCTTAATGGTTTACCAAAAAGCTAAAATGCTTCATAAAATATTTCTAAGTGCAACTGCATGATTTACTTTTATTAAAAAGAGGACCAAGTTAATTGACATGTCTCTGCCTCCTCTGTGTAGCTCCCAGTTGGCGATGAAGTATTTGGATCCAGCTTTTACTTCTCTGACCAACGCTCTCAGCGAGGACCTGCAGAACTCATCTAAATGGAGGCACAACAGCACTGCTTTTAACCAGCAGAGGTAGAACACATACACACACACACACACACACACACACACACACACACACACACACACACACACACACACACACACACACACACACACACACAAACTGTCTCCTGCATTGGTTTCTGATGGTCTTGAAAGCTTAACATGCTTTTAGCACTCCCAACAGCAAGTGTTAGTTGTGAAAAAGTTTGCCACATTTTTTGTGTTAGTGAAAGCTTTGGGTAGCTGTTCAGAAACACTTCACTGAATCCGAGCCCAGTATCACTTCTGTTTACTGATTGTGGACCATTTTGAAACTCTTATGGATTAGTGCAAAATATTTTTTGCTAAGTAAAAGCATGAACTTAAAATTCATCTAGTAGATTTTTCTTTGTGGATAGGGCTGCTACTGACCTATATTCTACAATACAAAAACATACAAGTCCAAGCTATGTGTAGTCATCGTGATTCACATTAAAGTCCAGAAGTTTGATGCTAATCTAAAGAAGTTTCAAGTCTGAAGTTAGAGCATCACTTAAGTCAGTTAAGTGTTTAGTCACATTTTAAAATACAACCTCCTGCTCTAAAACTGAAGGCACTTTTCTCAACAAACTCCTAACTGTTTAGTAAAGTTTGCTATCAGCCAATGAAGATATACCTTAAACCTCTTAAGATTCTTTTTAATGGCCACCAGGGGGCAATACCTGTGGTTGCAAGAAAGATTTTTGGTCCTATAGAAGTCTGCGGGAAATTGGCCTTCTAACCTGACCTTAGTAAATAGTTTCTTGATGAGTTTATGGGCTTAGTCAAACAATAGTCTCAGATTTAGGTTACTCAAGGCAATCCTACAATCAGATCTGCCTCTTGCTTCTCACATTTGGCTTCAAAAGACGAAGATGGTCATTATGAATAAACTCAGAGCCATCAAAGCAGGACTTTGGAACTGTGGTTGACATCATGTAGCTATATCCATCTTTTATACTATCTATGGTTATCACCAATTTTCAGACCCAAATCTATTTGTGTCAAAATAGAGTTCACTGTGCCGACACAAATACGAGATACAGGGTAAGAACTCTGGTGCCAGCAAAGTGGAGGGAGGAGAGCCTTTCTTCCTGAAGATCGACTACATATCAGCTTCCAGTCCTACTGCCATCACCTTGTCTTGTTTATTTATTTTTGTCCACCTGGAACAACTCCCAGCACACTTTCACTGCACATGCTTTTGTAGTGTTCTACCTGGCTGACTTTCTCTGTGTTGTCTGTTGTAGCTAAAAAAAATCTTAACAAGGCAACATATTTCCATCTTGCAGGAAGGAGATCTCTCAGTACATCGACATACCCCACAACTTCACGCTGACTCGAGACTCAGTCCGAATCGGTCAGCTGATGCACTATGACTACTCCAGCCACAAATACGTCTTCTCCATCAGCGACAATTTTCGCTCTCTCCTCCCGGAGGTCTCACCAATCCTCAACAAGCACTATAACGTATGTGCTGTGATTGGCAACAGCGGCATCCTCACTGGCTCACGCTGCGGTCCCCAGATTGAGAAATACGACTTTGTCTTCCGCTGCAATTTTGCGCCGACTGAGATCTTTAAAAAAGATGTTGGGCGTCGCACCAACATGACGACCTTTAACCCCAGTATCCTGGAGAAATACTATAACAACTTACTAACTGTGCAGGACAGAAATAACTTCTTCCTTAGCCTGAAGAAGCTAGATGGCGCCATTCTGTGGATCCCAGCGTTTTTCTTCCACACGTCGGCCACAGTGACGAGAACGTTGGTGGACTTTTTTGTGGAGCATAAAGGTCAGCTCAAGGTCCAGCTCGCCTGGCCTGGAAACATCATGAAATATGTCAACAAGTAAGAAAGAGCAGACTATTAAAGTACATCCAGGTGTTACATCATTAATATCTAGTACGTCATCAGTCCACATCTCCACATGTGATCACTATGTCATTAGTAGCAGTAAAACATTTTATAACTCTACTCATTAAAAATAAAGATGTATACTTAATATAAATTTGGCTGATCTCCTCTTCAGTGTCTTCTCCCTGTGCACCTCTGGACCTCTTCCAGATGAGGAATTTGCATTTATATTTGTATGTCTGTGACATACACTGTATTGTCTTCATTGTGTTATAAAAACAAAAACTCTACAACTTTAGTTTCACATTAATGAAGACTTCAAAAAGCCAAGCCAGAAGAGGAGCAGAGCTGCATAAGGAGGCAACCCTGATGGCCAAGACTGGCCAAATTAGGACTGGCCATCATTTCTGTGTGGAGTGCCCTGAAGGGAATGAATGGTTAAGAAGATAGGGGGATGGTTTTAAGTCAGGAGTCTGTGTGGACAGATTTGTTTCTGAATATAACCCCCCAGTGGCCGTTAGATGAACTGCAGTTTTGGCCTTTTATTTTCTGAGGTTGTAGCTGAGTTTTTACAAATTTTGTTCTAGGGTACATATTTGTGTTCACAGTAATGAGGAAACATGTTCTTCAGTCCAACAACGCAACTTATTGATGACTTTAATAGTTTTTGGACAACAGTAGGGTTGTTGGCTGATAGATTAATTTCTGGATTTTGGTCTTTAATTGATTTGTTTGACAAGGAAATCTCCATCATCAACCTGAACAGTAGGTTTACTAGATAACTTTTTTCTAAATATGTCTCGTCATTGGTAATTATTTACCTTTTACCTATGATGATACTCACATTTCATAAGGTTGTCAAAGTGACCTGTTGAAGTTCAAACTGAGCATCAGAATGTGGAAGAAAGGTGATTTATCTGATGCTGAACGTGGCATGGCTGTTGGTACCAGATGGGCTCTGAGATTTTGGAAACTGCTGATTTGTGATTTTTTTCCAAACAACCATCTCTAGGGTTTCACATTATTGATAATGTTATTAGATCAATATAGACTAAAATCTAAAGGAATGGTTCCAGTATGTTTTTGAATCTATGCCATGAAGGATTAAGGCAGTTCTGAAGGTAAAATGGGGTCCAACCCACTACTTGAATTAGTCTCTGAGTTTATTGCATAGCTCATTAAGATTAACAACTGATCAAATTTGGTGCTTTCAGCTTGTTAAAAGTGGACATGCTCACAACTGGACTTCATTTCCACCCGGTTAGCTTGGTCGTCCCTGTCTCTTAGCATTTAAAGGCTGTAGCTATTTGTGCTTTCTCTCTGTCTGTGTTTTTAAATGTCCCTCATCCACCTCGATCCTGTTTAAAGAAACTAGTAGAAACTGGCTGACACGTGGCTGTTTTGTATTGAGCTGTTTTCTATATGTCAAAAGAGGAGATTTAGGCTCCAAAGCCGGATTATAAGGAAACAGCTATTTAGTGAAAGGTATGGCACACAGCTGTAACAGTGTGTGTGGTGAGAGGGGGATTTAAGTTGGGTTCTTAGTGTTGTAGTGGCAGAATAGGGCTGCCCGTACAGTAGTCTAATCTTTACCAATCCCATTAAGTCTACCTGCTCTGGAAGAATTACCACTTTTAAGCAGCTCAGACGGCTTTCAGCGCTGTAAGGACTCTTGAAGCCGCTTTTGTTTAGGCCAGTTTGGAGAGTTTCCCCCTTTGTGATTCTGCAGAGCAAAACTGTCACATTTAAAGCTTCAGCAGATTATGTCCTATCAATAGAGTCCTATTTTCAGAATTTTTGGGAATGATTTCTAGAAAAAAGCAGACAAAAGTGGACAGGATGATATTCCTTTATCTCCGTTTACTAAAATTCAGGTTTTTGCCTAAACTGTTCAAAACAAGGGGGAAATAACTAGGAACAAAAGCAGGAAGTTGATGCTAAAAGGGATCAAAACACAGCAACAACATTGCAAAAAAAAAGTACAAGGAACATGTCACAGATAAACTCAGTGGTTTGTTGCAAATCCTATTCTTTAATTCTAATAATTGTTTTGCATTTATTTGCCACTTAGTTATTAGGTCATAGCATTTTTCAAGTGTTTAATAGTAAAAGTGATGTAATTCACTTTAAGAGTGAATGAATAAAGTTGTGAGTGCCTGAATTATTAATTTAATCTGTGACTAGTCTCTTGTCATTCATACTCCACAGCTACTGGAAAACCAAGCAGCTGTCGCCGAAGCGCCTGAGCACAGGCATTCTGATGTACACGCTGGCTTCTTCCATGTGTGACCAGATCCACCTGTACGGTTTCTGGCCCTTTGGCTGGGACCCGAACACAGGCAAAGAGCTCCCCTACCACTACTACGACAAGAAGGGCACCAAATTCACCACCAAGTGGCAGGAGTCCCACCAGCTGCCTGCCGAGTTTAAACTCCTCTACAAGATGCACACAGAAGGACTGCTGAAGCTCTCCCTCTCCCACTGTGCTTAGGGATAAAACTGTGGCAGGTACCGTGCTCCTTCAGGCTCCGATCCAGCACTTCCACTGGCCGGAATTACAGAAAGGGTGAGACAAGCAAAGTTGGGACTCCTGCCGTTTAGTCAAAGGCAACAGCTTGACTGTAAGGCTGAGTTTGTGCAGTGGAGATCAGCCTGAGATACCAGAGCAAAGGCTCGTAATTGTGCGCTCAAGATGAACTGTAACAGCTCAATAAACAAGCAGTGTGTTAATTTTCTACTGCTCATAAATCTACAGCTGAACAGCACTGCGTTTAGTTTCATTTTACCACAGAAAGGTGGACTGTCATGCAAAAGCTGGTCTTCAGACGAGTGTCACAGTGCTGAATCGTTTAATAGCGTTTTAATTGCAATCAGGGTCTTTCACAGAACTAATGCAGACACATGCAACATAAAACAGCTCCATCCAGAAATGACAGCATGTAGGCCAATCAGATTCAAGCACATAGATCCAGGCATGGCAAAAAACATGATTTTGTGGCTGTTTTCAAAAATTGCAAAGTGCTGTCTTACGTTCGTTATATATTATACTAAACAGCTGTGTGGCGCTGGGGTTTGGTAAACCCTCAAACTCAGAGCTCTGACATTTTGGGGTTTTTATTTCTTTGGTTTCTTTGCTGTTTTTGGTCTGAAAACAACAATGCTGGGATCATCCGCATGTCAGGGACCACACTGACAAAGTCTGGAGGTTGGATGTATGCAGGGTCCTGACACTATCCTAGATTTTATTTTTGTACATTAGAGTCATATTAAGAAAAGAAGATGAAGCTTGATGAAGATGATGATGAGATCAAGTTACACAGTATTTTGCCTTTGACCAAGATACATTATCAGACTTCATATCTTTCTGTTTTCAAAACCTCTACAGTGCCACGTACAAAGGAGAACAAATGGAGGGACCAGGTTTGGCTTTCTTTGCTTCACCTGACAGCTCCAACATCATTATCAGTCTTTCCTTTTGCCATGTCTGCTGTTGTGCTATATATAAGAACGCTCAGTCTCTATATTTAGCACAGTGAAAGGATATAGTAGATCCTACAGTCGTTGCATTGGTTGCTTGGGGAGTTTTTTTTTTTTTTTTTTTAGGCGGCGGTTTTGTTTTTGTTTTAACGGCCTTTTGTTCCAGGCCTTAAGTTTTGAAAAATTTTTTTGCTTTTTTCTTTCCTTTTCCAAATTGGAGTTGTTTTTTTTTTAGTATTTTTCACCTAACTCTATCTGAGTTTGTGTCCATCTGATGAATGTAAATCAATTTGTCTTTCTCCTTTTAGTCTCATTAGCTCATTCCTTATTCCCGTTTCTACCCTGCTGTTTTTATTTGTTTGTTGCGTATGAGTGGTTTGTTAACCTTTGATTTCTAAAGTGAACCTCCTGCTAATATTAGAGCTATAAACAGAGTAAACCATGGAGTGAACGTCACTTTAAAAGATCTACTTTTAAAACAAATAACTATACGTTTCATAGGGATAGTAGGGCTGAGTGATGCTTTTGAATATCATTTAGGAAAAACAAGATAATTGGATTAAGTGTTGGAGATGGAGCCAAGACGATGAAAAGAGCTACTTTGGTCAATAAGATTTCTGTAGAAGAAGTAAGTTATGACAAGGTTTAGGAAAGGCTAGAAGCTCTGAAAGGCAGGTTGGTACAAAGCAGAGTTTGCTTTGTGGTCAAAAGCAATTCAATTCTCTCCAACTGTTTAAAATATTTAAAATTATTTATTTATTAAATTAAATAAATGCATGATTCTTGAATCAATAATCACATAAAATAATCACAATTACAAACAATCCCAAATCCCAGCTGATCTGTAAAGTTCAATCACAGACTGTATTTAAATGATGGAAATTGTGACGTCACAGTTGGTTAGTGCGGCAAGGAAGCTAATTTACCATATTAACTTTTTTTTTTTTTAAATAAATTCAGTATAACCTGAAACTGCCAACTGAGCCAAGTCATCAGAAAAGTGTTCACTTCACATGGCAAGAAAGCCAAACTGCTGAAGTTGCCCCTGACTGGCTTTTAGAAGTAATGTAGATTTAAGGTACTTCTGTATGGACCCAGAAGCTACGTCCAGCTTTTTTAAATGCAGTTTAAGAGTCCAGCCCAGCTAGAAAGAAATAAAAAGACATTAACTTAAGGTGACTAATAAAAAGTTAAATTAAGATGCATCAGCAAAGCTTCTTCTTCTGCTTTTACATGGAAAATAGTTCCTATTATATTTTATTCAAGTCCACTTTGATAGAAGTTGTGGCATTGTAGTGTAGTGCCTCCTGGATGACCACACGGGGCCTCGCCTTCTCCCTGTGATGATGAAATTTACATCACTTGAACCTTTTAGCTGCTTGTCTTTAGCATTGTTTTGGGCCACGTACAGTTCACCACTTTATGCCAGCAACAACGAGACTTTTTACACTTTCAAAAAATCAGATTGAGCCACTAAGACATTCAAGAGGAAATTAGCATTGTCAGCACCATCGACACAATGTTAAAATCCTTGTTTGCTGTTTTGTAAAATGGGCTGTTTGGTAACATTTCCTCAGTGGTGTTTAGATTTACCTTGTTACTCAGTAAAACAGTGAACCTGCCACAAGTGAATGGAAAGAGTTTAAAAATATAGTATAAGAATAAGATGTGTTTATATTTGTGTTTATTTATTAGTTTTTTAAATCATGTCTTAATTTTATTTTGTGTAAAGGGACAACACTGGTAAATGTACAGGTTGTTCATTTTAGCAGGAAGACATGTGTTCCCTCTTCCATATTGTTTTTTTTTTAAAGAATGACGATGATGCAAGTCCAGATATTTGACTGACCACTGGTGGGTCCATTGAGACGCTGTTATTTTGAACCTTTACTGTTAGAAAATACTAGTAAGATAATGGAGAGCGCCTGAAGTGGTTTTAACCTCAATTTATGATCCAGAATCGGTAGATTAAAGGTTGTGACTGGCACGAGACTCTGTTGCTTATCTGTTGATGTAATTGTGGAGAGTTGAGACTTTAACATTGAGAGCAAACAGCTAAATAAGATAAAGTTATTATGAAGGGTTTTTTTGTGCTTACACAACAAAGTCTTTGTTTGTCAGCTTGTTCATTGGTTTTATAAAGTATAACAAGCACAAAGATAAGACAATTAAAATATCAATTTTCTTACTGTCATTAATCCTGGTTTGTAGTTGTTACAGAAATGTGCACATTTTTCACAGTATATCCCAGGAGGCACTTTTCATTTCATGGGAAAAATCCACCATCGATGTAAAGGTTTTGGCACTCTTGGCTTTCCATACTTATTTGCATCCACATACTCAGGTTTTTGTGAACAGGTACAGTTGTACAAACTTCTTTTATCATTACTTCCCTGAATGTTTTGTGGTATGTTAATCTTTTTCTTTTTCTTTTTTGCTGTTGCTTCTGTGTATGTGTGTTTACAAATCCATCAAATACTTTTTCATTTGTAGTTAATTAGAGATGATTTAAGACACCACATGCTACATGAGAGAAATTCCATCATAAGCATGTTTTGTTTTTAGGCACATCAAATATGAATTATATTTTTTTTTACATGCTTTTTATCTCCAAGGGAGAGTTGTGTCTTTGTGGATTTTTAATTTTTGCATTTTTTTGTGTTTTGCAAAAATGAGGGAAACTGGGACTAATTTTGTAATCTGCAGCTCAATTTTTGCTGGATTGCACTTATTTTTCCTTTTAGTGTCCTAAAAATTTTTTTCCAGAAAGAGTAAATATGATGTTTTAGGGAATTAAAGACATAGAGATTGTCGTTGTGAAGGTTATGACTTAAGCTGAGTTTTACAAGATGTTCTCATGTTTTATTTTTGTCTTTTTTCTTCTTTCTTTTGTCATCTTTTATTTTTGTAGTGTAAAATAATAGTAAAATATCAGGTAACAGCTTTTACAGAATGTATTTTTTCGCATTGTGAATGAAACTGAGGCCGGCTCCATTCACGTCCATGTCTTCAGAGACCAATGGAGGAAGATTCGTGCAGGAATAACATAAACTAGAACCACTTTTAGATATCATAAACAATATGCTGTAGATTTAATAATAAGTTTAAGTCATCCAGTACTTGAAAGAAACTATATCTACTCTGTATTTATTTCATTATTTAGTCATTAAATGAATTAAATGATCAGTTTGACAATGTGAGTGGTGTCTTCTTCTCCTTTGTTTGTTAAAAAGATGAAAACATCTTTTTCCTTCCTTAGTCAGCACAAACTGAAATCATCCTAAAGCTGGAAGCTGCTGACTGTGGTGGGAATAATAATCTCGGTCAGAAAATGTACAACGTTATCAGCAGTAAACACTGATTTGTCCACGTCGCACAGAGTAAAACCCGTTCAGTGACCTTTAATCTACACGAGGGAGGACACGGAGGTCCGTGTGCCATCACATGTTGACACGTCTAACGCACATCATTGCCTTCCAGTGAAATTTTTATAACTGTTATGCAAAACAGGGCAACAAATGGAGATGCAGTGGATAGCTTTGTTGCCTCCCAGCAGGAATATCCTGGGCCTGGGATTTTGGAAGTTCTTCATTCTGTCTGCTTCCCTCCACAGTTCGGAGATATCCATGCTAGGTTAATGGGTGATTCTAAATCTCTCTTTTAGCCCTGCACCAGACCGGCGATGTGTCCAGGGTCCATCGTTTGCCTTATGACAGCTTTGATAGGCTTCAGTCTCACTGCTACTTTGAATCAGATGAGTGATAGAAAGTGAATGAGTGGATGGATACAAATCCTTGTCTTGTTCATGGGTACCTGAATAGTTTTGAAGCCTGCCTGTATCTCATACATCAGCCCAGGTCTGGAATAACTAAAAAGTCTCTTTTGACAGTCTGTCCCACGAAATGCATAAACAGTACAAGAAAACAAAAGATGCAAAAGCCTCATATTTAAGTGAATGTATGTATATATTTGAGGCTGTATGTTTACTTGTGACCCTGTGTCATTGAAGGTGTATGCTGTGCAATCATTCCACTCGGGCAAAAGACATGAGATTCATACTCAAAATGAGGTTAGGTGTACTTACAGGATGGATCAAATTATAACATAAGGATTACCATAAAACATGACAAACATAAACATAAACATAAACACAATTACAATTAGTGCGGATTATAATGGCATGTTTATAAAAAATAGTAAAAAAAACCCAAAACTACAACAACCCTGTTAAAACTCTGGAAAACTATGAAACTATTTAGGCCAAACCGTTTGGTACTAGGCTGTAAATACGCTTTTAGATTATGTAAATTTGGACATTTTAATCTGGAGGTGTGTGGAGATTCACTCACTTTTTGAGCACTGGATTTTCGGCTCTGGGGTTTCCTCTCGGAGAAGCCTGAGAAAAGTAAGTGCAGCCACGAACAAAGAAACTCAACTTTCAGCACAACTGCTTAATCACTGAATTCAGTCTGGCATGGACCATAAGGATAATGTAAAAGTGACAATGATTCAACCTGTTCAGACCAAGTAAAGTCATGACATCAGTGATTTGCAGCACACTTCTAAGTCCAGAGTTTTCTAAACTGAAGCCTCGTTCTCTCTTACTTCAGCATAGAATTTCCAACTGGATTTTTAAAAAATTGTTCTAGATCCAGATGTTTGGGACCCTACTCTCTTTCAACCATCATCACATAATTCCTTTATTTGTGTGTAACATGTGAGTTACAAAGCCCAACCTAAAGTCAGGTGCACAGTTTCTTGTGAAGGCTATACAGGCCTCTTTCATCTACTAAACAGAAGGGAAGTAGTTTAATTCCTGCAATCCCCATTTTGAAGTGTCCTTGAGCAACATCCTAAACCCTAAATTGGCTTGATCATTGATTGGTGTGTTTAAAAGTGTTTAAAGACATTGAAAAATAAAGTGCTGTGTGAATGAATCAGTCTGCAAAAGTCCACAGTAGGAGCAGAGAACTGCTGTACAGCGTATCCCTCTGTCCCTAGAAAGTCCAAGTGAAATGTCTTCTTCCAAAATGTCCTGTACTTCAGGTGTGTCCTCATTTCTAAAGATATA